CAGGGAGTTCCAACTCATTTCCAACACAATTTTAAGTATTTAATTTCAATGAGCCCCATTCTAAGGTAAAGGTAAAGTTTCTCCTCGCACATATGTGCTAGCCTTTCCCAACTCTAGGGGGGGGTGCTCATCTCCATTTCAAAGCCAAAGAACCAGCGCTGTCCAAAGTCATCTCCGTGGTCATGTGGCCGGCATGACTAAACGCCAAAGGCACACAGAACACTGTTATACCTTCCCACCAAAGGTGGTTCCTATTTTTCTACTTGCATTTTACATGCTTTCGAACTGCTAAGTTGGTAGAAGCTGGGACAAGTAACGGGAGCTCTGTTACATGGCACTAAGCATTAGAACTGCCGAACTGCTGACCTTCTGAGCAACAAGCTCAGTGTCTTAGCCACTGAGCCCTGAGCCCCTTTCTAGTATAATATTAGTTCTGACTGATAAAATACATATGTATTTTACATATGAACCAATAGTTCACAATTAGTAAAGATAGTCAGGAACCACATTGGAAGCTTTTAAGCTCTTCTTTAAGTCAGCTGTTTGAATCAAGGTGCAACTCCAGCCCCTCCTTATAAAACTGCATTCCATAAAGTATGAAGGGCTGCAATTAGAAGGAACACTGCTCATCCAATGTATGAATGAAAGTATTTTCTACTCATGTATATCTCATCTTGTAATTGCAAAGTAATGAAAACCTGGAGAAAGATGAGCCCTTCACAGCTGTTATAATCCTGCTGAACAAAAGGTTCTTCTGTAAGTATTCAATGAGATCAAAAGATTATTACTGGACAGATAATCTTCACATTAGATGAATAGCATACACTTTCATTTATCCAGGATCTTCGTATTTACCTGTGGTCAAGATGGCTAAAGTCTTGCAAATTTAATTCCCTGGTATCTTGAGTCAGATAAATGGTATCAACATCCTAGATAGATAAAAAAGATAGATTAAAAATACATTTTAGAGAAAAAAACTATTTAATTTCTTAGCACAAAATTGCTTATATAATTAATAGGCTCTAGTTAAGGACTTTTTTTTATTTCTTTTTGCCTCAGTGGCTGGTAGTAAGTTTCCCCAATCTTATTTCTATACTTACCCACTGCACTTCTTCCCTATATGGAGAGCCCAGCCAGTCACAAACGCATGCATACATTTGAGAAAAACCACCTAAAAAGAAACGAAAAAAAGAACACTAACCATTTATCACTGTGGGGAATAATTCTTAAAAGCTGATAACATATATCCTGATGATAAGCTGATTTTATCTCTCTCTTTGGCACGTACACTATCCTCAAGCACAATATGCAACTAACTGAACCTACAGCATATTCCTCCAGCAAGGCAGGATACAGCATAAAAATAGCATCTTCCCACACTGCTCAAAATGACTCTTCATTCTAACTACACCTTAGGACTATTTATATCTTTCCCCAAAAGCAAACTCTACATCAGAAATAGAACTAAGCTTCCGTGTACTGGTGATGCCAGAAACTCTGTATTTCAGCTGAAAAAGCACACACACTCACCACATGGGCCTAATTCTCCTACAGTTTGACTGTCCCATAGAGTCTGCAGATTAGCCAGCCTGTCTGGGGGCTCCATAATTACTTTCTTCATTATTCTCCTAGAAGCCAGAAGTAAATGCACACATGAATTAGAACTCATCAAAATGTAGTTTGCTATTTCATATTTATGTACTTGAACTGCAAGTTTCCACCAGGATTGTGTCCCACACCTCAAATTTGAAGGAATTATCCCTTAGCTAATATAGAAATTCTGTTAGATTTAAGAACTAACTCAACTCTATGTATTTTATCCTTCTAAATCTCAAAGCACTCTGCAAAGCTACTTTGCAATCTCTGTGATCTCATCTCTATAACATTTGCAATTATCATACTTTATGGTTACATCTGATTCTTTAAAAAAGCTATTTGACATTTTTTATTTTCTGGCTATGATAAAATGAAACATCTAGTAATTAAGATTACACATAACAAATTCTTAAAATCTTCACTGAAATGGCATTGATATTTTTGAAAACTCAAAATATCTAAACTCTTAAGATCACTACCAGAAGCTGCAAAAGAAGGTATTGTACTGATATCCTACAAAATAGCAGCAACTATAATAGTTGGATAATTGGAGAATGTCAGTTGTTGCTTGGATAGATATTATCTCCCACTCCCAATATTAAGTCTATTAGGTTTTCATAAGGATTGTGTAGTGCTTTGGATTTGAAAGGGAAAAAATGCTTTGAATTGTACACAGTACTTGCCACTACTCGTTTAAAGCAAACACCCTTTTTTCTGGAAAAAAAAAATCCTGCACTTATGGAGGAAAATGACCATTGGCTTACGTGAAAAATCATTTTCAGTATGCTGCGAGGAGAGTCCAAGCATGGGTTAAACTCAGCCAATCTACCCAGGACTGAACTGAAACTTTAGCCATGCCTCTGGTGTTGCCTTGGCTTGCCAGATTTTCAATGAAGGCGTGGAACTGTGTGCATTGATAAGAAGTCCAAGATAGTCCATAAACAACAGGTCCGAATAGTCTTTGAAAGCGGAGAAAGACCCCAGGGTGGGGTTGGACTCTCCTCGCAGTGTACTGAAAACGACCCTTCAGGTAAGCCAATGGTCATTTTTCCAGTATGCTGCTTGGGGAGTCCAAGCATGGGACATACCCAAGCTAAATGTCACTAGGGCGGGAAGCTGCAGAGTCCAGGGTCACTCCACTGATATGGATCCTCTGTAAGACTCGCCTCCCAAACGCCCCCTCAGCAGAAGCAAATTTGTCCAATTTATAGTTCCGAACAAATGGAGATAAGGAAGTCCAAGTAGCTGCCCTGCAAATCTCTTCTATTGGTGCCTGGGTCGCCCAAGCCGCTGTGGTGGCTGCACTCCACATGGAATGTGCGATGATATGACGAGGCACTGGTCTGGATTGCAAGACGTAAGCGAGGATGCAAGCCAGTAGCCAACCGATGGTGGACAAAGAGACTTTGCGACCTTGGGATGCAGGTTAAAACGAGATGAAAAGCGACTCAGAGCATCTGAAAGCTGCCGTTTGCTTGATGTACTTGCGAAGAGTGCGGCGGACGTCAAGCGTGTGCCATCTCTTTTCCCTCAGATGTCTGGGATGAGAACAAAAATCCGGGAGAATGACCTCCTGGGCACAGTGAAACCAAGAGTTGATCTTGGGGTTAAATGTGGGTCCAGGCGGAGGACCACTCTATCAGGGTGAATCCAACACAAGTCCTTTCTAACCGACAGGGCTGCTAACTCTGAGATCCGTTGAGCAGACATGATGGCAATTAAGAAAAATGTCTTAAAGGTGAGATGATTCAGGCTAGTGGAATGCAGAGGCTCAAAGGGCGCAGACATAAGGGCCCATAACACCACCTCGAGTTCCCATGACGGGTACATGTGTACGACCAGAGTTTCAGATTGGTGGCACCCTGCAGGAAGCTACGGATGACAGGGTGTCATCCAAGTGACGAATGGCTGTCAGGTGCAAGGATCATGGATAAAGCAGCTACCTGGCACCTGAGTGTGTTAGGAGCCAGGCCCTAGCCAAGTACATCCTGCAAATAGTCCAGAATCTGGGGAACAGAAGCCGTGGTCAGTGTTATGTTGAGTGTGGCACACCATCTCTCAAAGGATCTCCAAGTGGAGTCGTAAATTCTGGTCGTAGCAGGTCTCCTGGATGCCTGAATGGTGTGTATGACTTTGACATAGAGACTGCCCTGCTCAGGATGTCCCTCTCAAGTGCCATATGGCTAGTTATAGCCACTGGGGCTCTGGATGTTGTAGAGCCCCCTGGCTGAGAGAGATCTCCTGCGGGGGAATTCGCCAAGGTGAATTGACGGACAGACTCACCAGATCGGCGAACCAGGTCCTCCTGGGCCAGAAGGGAGCCACGAGTAGAACTTCTGCTCTCTCCTCCAGGATCTTCCTGATCACTCTGGGCAGGAGGGGCAGTGGAGGGAAGGGATATAGGAGTCCCGGCGGCCAGGAGCAATGGAAGGTGTTGACACCCTCCACCTGCGGGTTATAAAACCTTGTGAAGAACCTGGGTAGGTGAGAGTTCTCTGGGGAGGCGAACAGACTGAATACTGGTTGACGGAACCTCTGCGACAGCTGATGGAACAGATCCAGGTGCAGGCGCCACTCTGAATAGTCGACCGTGGTCCTGCTTAGCCAATCTGCCTGGATGTTGTTCACTCTGGAGATGTGCTCCACCTAAAGTGAGCATAGGTGTTCCCAGGGATTTGGCTTCCGCCATCAAAGACCTGGATTGGGTGCCCCCCTGGCAATTTATATGTGCTTTGGTTGCCACATTGTCTGTGAGGATTATCACGTGACGACCCTGGATGCTGCTCTGAAAGTGGCGCAGAGCCAACCTCACCGCCCTCAGCTCCAGCCAGTTGATGCTGTGTCTGCTCAGTCATGGACCACCTGCCTTGAGCTATCTGGTTGTGGAAGTGAGCCACCCAGGCAAACAGGCTGGCATCCATTGTGATGCTGAGGCAGTTTGACTCTCTGAAGGAGCTCTTCGCTAGGGCAGAAGTCATCCACCAACCGAAGGATCAACGTACCTGAGGGGGGACTGGAATCATTGCTGCTGAGTTGCTCCATTTGGCCCTCTGGTGCAGCAGGAGATGCCACTGCAGGTGACGAGAATGAAGCCTGGCCCAAGGTACGATTGATAGACAGGAGATCATTTTGCCTAACAGTTGGGACACCTATACAATCGGGACGTGGTGCGACTGATGAACTTGTTGTACGAGAGATCTGAGGCTCGTCATTCGGTCGGGAGACAGGGAGACCTGACACGCAACTGTGTCTATGATGGCACCAAGGTGCTGTAACCTGGTGGTTGTTACCAGATGACTCTTTTCTAGGTTGACAGAGAACCCGTGGTCTCGAAGGACTGCCATCGTGTATTGCAGGTCTAGTGCCACTTGCTGGCAGGACGATGACTAGATGAGAATGTTGTCCAGGTAGCATTGGAGCCACACTGGATGCAATCTGAGGAAGTCCGCTACTGCTGCAAGGATCTTTGTGAACATTTTTGTGGCTGATGACAGGTTGAATGGCAGTGCTCTTTACTGGAAGTGTTGGCCTGCGTAAAAGAACCTTAGAAACCTGCGGTGTGCCTTGCATATGTCAACGTGTAGGTAGGCCTCCTTCAGGTCTATTGATGTTAACAGGTCCCCTGGTCTGATGCAGCCCAGGATGGATTGGAGGGACTATATCTTGAATTTTTTGTGCACTATGTGGTGGTTCAGCTTTTTTAGATCTAATATGCCCCTCCACCCCACCCCCCAAATTCTTTGGGACAAGGAATAGAATGGAATATAACCTTGTCCCCCCGTGACCGGGTGGAACCAGTTCTATGGCCCTGATCTCCCTGAGGTGGAGGATCTCCTGTTCCATGAGAGCCTTGTTTACAGGATAGGAGGAAGTTGGGCACCGGATGAAGTGGCGGGGTGGGGGTGAGATGAATTCTAGCATCAGGCCTATGCGGATGGTCTGGAGGACCCACTGGTCTGACGTAATGTGCTCCCATTGGCCGCAGAATAGCTGAAGATGCCCGCCAATGGAAGCCCTCCTTTGGTGGTCACTTATACCAACAGAAGGGTCTGGAGCCAGATCCTCTGCGGAAGGGCCTCTTGGAGAAATTCTGCTGGCGGCCTCTGTCATGAAAAGACTGATGGTCTTGAGACCTGTCAGCATTCTGGGAGAACGGCCTCTGGTAAGTACTAGATGTGGAGGGCTGGTCTGAAGCCCAAAAGGGCTGCTTCCTATAAAAGTTAGATTCCTTATGCTCAGATTTTTTGGTGACTGAGGCATAACCTTCTTTTTGTCCTTATTCTCTATAAGGACTGGATCTAATGCCTCCCCAAAAAGCTTACCCCCTTTGAAAGGGGCGGAAGCAAGCTTCCACTTAGATCGCATGTCAGCGTTCCAGTGTCTAAGCCATAAGAGGTGATGGGTGGTAACGTTGGAAGCAAGGGCCCTAGAAACAAACTTTGCGGCATTCAATGTGGCATCCACTATGCATTCAGTGGCCGCAATGATTTTGTTAACATCCTGCCTGAGTCTGCTATCTCCGGCTGGAAGTCTAGTGAGTAACTGTCTTAACCAAAGGAGAGAGGCCCTGGAGAGGAAAGAGGCAGAGGCGGACATTTTAATTGCCCAAGCAGCCGCCTGATGAGCCTTATGGCAGGCCTTCTCTGCTCTCTTGTCCTCTGCCTTGAGTCCCTCCAGGAGATCGGGAAGAAGCACCGAGGAACAGGTGAGCACAGCCATCAGCTCATCCATGGGGGGCAGCTTCAGCAGATCCTCTAGACTAGCATCTATTGTAAATATTTTCTTGTCGCTGTCACTAGGGGTGGCAAGGGTAGCCGGCTGTGCCCATTGTTTCTGCATTACGTTGAGGAATAATTTGGGTATAGGCACAATTTCCTGAGCCTGAATAGGTTCCTTGAACAGGCCTTCACTGAGATCTGAGGGATCAGGGACTGCCTGGTCTGGGGTGGTAGAATTTAAATGGGTAGAGGCCTTCGCCTTATTCAAGATAGTCTTGAAATTAGTCTGCTTAAATAAACCGATGAAGGCAGGC